GGCCGACTCCCGACTCCCGACGGCCCAGGCTGCTCAGGGTGACGATCGTAGAAGTCACTGATGAGTGTCTTGTCCACAACAAAAGTCCAGGAGACCCAGCAATGCCCCTCAGAGCCGTAACCCTCCCAATCGACCAAGAATTGTCATCCTCGGCCCTGTTTGCAGACCGCCAGAAGTTTCCTGACTGTGGCCGCCTTCAATGATCCGGGTGGTGGAGGGGGCTTGGAGGCGGAAACCAGAGTGCTCTCTCGAACTGGCTTGAGTTTGCTCACATGAAACGTGGGATGGACCCTCAAAAACCTGGGGAGTTTGAGGCGCACAGAGACAGGGCTAATGATTCTTGAAATTGGGAAAGGACCCACAAACCTTGGTGCCAACTTCTTGGAGTGAACGTGTAGGGGTAGATCCTTGGTGGAGAGCCAGGCTTTCTGGCCCGGCCTGTAGAGGGGGGCCGCACACCTGACTTCATCTGGGCCGAGGTCCGGAGTAGCGCCTGCCGAGCACCGGCCCAAACCCGAAGAGAGGAGGCTGGTACCCGTTAGCACACTGCAAAGGGGAAAGACCCTTGGCAGCCGAGGGGAGAGTGTTGTGGGCGCTGGCAAAACTCCTTCCAGAAGTTGGAAATGAATTGGTCCACTGAAAAGAAACCTTAGAGGAGGTGAGAGCATGCAAAGGTGCGGCTACAGAACTGAAGTTGCGTATAAACTTCCGGTAAAAGTTGGCAAACCCCAGGAATTGTTGAACTCTTTTGCTGCTATCAGGAGTGGGTGGGTGGGTGACAATGTAGCCCAGGAAGGAGACAGTAGTTGCATGGAAGTCACACTTTTCAGCTTTCACATACAACTGATTCTCAAGAAGCTTCTGGAGAACTTGGCGGACATGCATGACATGAGACTGACTATCTGGGGAGAAAATCTAAATATCGTCCAGATACACGAAAACAGAAACATTCAAATACTCTCTCAAAATGTATTTTACCATAGCCTGAAATACAGCAGGAGCATTACATAGTCCAAAAGGCATGACCCGATATTCATAATGTCCGCTTGGGGTGTTGAACCCCGTTTTCCACTCGTCTCCCTCTCTAATCCTGACGAGGTGGTAGGCATTCCTAAGATCGAGTTTGGTAAAAACTTTAGCTGTTTGAAGCAGTTCAAATGCTGAAGACATCAGCGGGAGTGAGTGGCGGTTCTTAACAGTTATTTCATTCAATGGGCTGTAGTTAATGCATGGCCTGACTGACCCATCCTTCTTACCCACAAAGAAGAATCCTGCACCAGCAGGTGAAGAAGAGGGACGGATTATCCCCGCTTTCAACGAGGAGGAGATGTAATCGTCCATGGCCGCCCGCTCCGGTCCCGAGATGGAGTATAAGCGCCCTAGGGATGGGTGCGCCAGGCAGCAGGTCGATGGCACAGTCAAAAGGACGATGAGGGGGCAGTGACAGAGCTTTGGTTTTATTAAAAACCTCTTTAATGTCATGGTAGCATGAGGGGACCTTGGAAAGGTCAGGAAAATCTGAGCTTCTATCAGAAACTGCAACAGTTTGTGGGGCTCTACAGGACATGGTCTCTGAGCTGAGTTGGGTTACTGGGGCTTTGGTGACAGCATGGTGGGGAAAATAGCCGGACTTACAGGTCTGTTCACAATTCCCTCCCCATCCCTTAATTTGTCCTGAACACCAATCAATATATCAATATCAATATGTGGGTTATGTGTTTTTAATCAAGGAAACCCCAAAATCAGCGGATGTTGTGCTGAATTGAACAGATGAAACTGCATTATTTCTACATGATTATTATCAATTGTCACTTGAATGGGTTCTGTACAATCAGTTACTTTACACATTAGTCTGCCATCTAGGGCGCTGGCATTGACGGGATGCTTGAGAGGGACAGTCTTAATATTAAGGCGTTTAGCTAAACCCCAGTCTATGAGGCTTTCATCAGCCCCAGAGTCAATTAGCGCCCCCAGAGTATGTGTCTGACTGTTAGCTGTGACTTTAACCTGGGTGAGTGTGCGAGGAGGGTAGTCAGAGGAAATCTTGCTCACCAGCGCCCTCCTCATGGTTGGTGAGCATGCCCTTTTCCCGGGCATGTCGCCTGCTGGTGACCCGATTGGCCACAGTAAAAGCAGCGTCCCTCCTGCAGGCGGCGCCGTCTTTCCTCTGGAGAAATCCTTGTTCTCCCGAGCTGCATTGGCTCCTCCGGTGCCTGTGATGGCGCTGTTCCTGCTGGGCCTGATGAAGAGTGAAACAAGGGATCCCATGAAGGCTGCCTACCCAGAGAGCGCCCCTGGTGGCTGGGATGTCTTGTTGCAGTTTGGCGCCGTTCTCTCTCTCTTTCTCTGAGGCGGTTATCAACTCGGATAGACATGGAAATCAGCGATTCAAGGTCTTGTTGTAGTTCTAGTGGAGCCAGGTGGTCTTTGATGCTTTAATGCTGGGGTGTTCCAGCCACTGTCTATGGCTTCTGTACGGAACTCTATGGCATAATCTAATACTGGCCGTGGGTGCTGTTTGAGCTGCATTGAGTACACGGGTGACGTCACCGGCAGGTGAGGTAAGATCAAAAATCCTGCTCATAGTGTCTTTGAATGCTGTGAAAGATCTACATATACTGGAATCTCTTGACCACTCCGCAGTGGCCCATGCCGCAACTCTGCCGGTTAAATGGGAGACCATGGTGCTATTTTAGCCTCACCTGACACAAACGCGGCTGGGTTAAGTTTGTAATGCAGGTCGCACTGGACTAGGAAGGTTCTGCAGTTGCCAGATTCACCTGAATATTTCTCTGGCCATGCCAACCGCAGTGGGACAGGAGAGAAACTGACCTCGGCCTGATTAGCAGCAGGATTGGCATCAGGTGGCGTAGCAGGAAACGGAGCTGTAGAAGTTGCCTCTAGATGAGTGAGGACTCTGTGGAGCTGTTCTGCCAGATGGTTCACCTGTGACGTGACAGAGGTTTGAAAATCCTCCTGGCGTTCTGAAAGGTCTTTTCACTCAGGAAGTAAAGGGACCTGGAATGAGACAAGGAGAGTACAAAATAAAACAGGAAGTGGAACATAAACTAAATTAACATGAACATGACAATCACAAACATGACACAACTTAACATAATTGACGGGAGACTACAACATGTCAACATAATACAATGAAAGAAGTCACACTGATATTTCTTATACTAACAAAGAGGTTGAACAACACAAAGAGCAATCTGCTACTTCAGTCACTACAATGTGATTACTTAGCCTAAAGTATATTGCTTTCAATTACTGACACAAGAACACTCATTCACTCACATTTACACTTCACTTTTCATACTACCAACAATAGTTATACTAGTAATAAAGTTGTTGATTGATTGACTTGTTGTAGATTGTTTTTGTTTATATAGAAAAACATGTATATTTATAACAAATGTTTTACATTGATAGTAATGTATTTAAAGGTCAGGGGCTTTGAGGTAATGAATACCAGCCTCTTAGTACTCTTAGCTTGTCTTCTTAAAGAGGCCCTATTATGCTCTTTTAAGTGCTCCCTTTCCTGTAGTATGTAATAAAGGTTCTTGTGCATGTCAATGGTCTGCAAAGGGTAAAATCCTGAAGGTCATGCCAGAGGGAGTTTCTCACCCACACTGAAATGCCTCTTCTGTACTCCTCTGTTTACTTCCGCAACACAGTGACATCACTGCATAACACTTGCGATTCTATTGGCAAGCACTTAAATACATTATACATGATAAAGTAAGTGGCAACACATCCCCAAGTGGTTGACCAATCACAACAGAGCCGGCCAGCTAACCAATCAGAGCAGACTGGGCTCTGGTTTCAGACAGAGGGTGAAAAGAGGTGCTGCAGCACAGGCAGTATGAGAAAAAGAAAGAGCTTTTTGAACATTAAAGCATGGAGACATGTCCCAGTAGAGACACTAAAGACTAATATGAACCTGAAGATGAGCAACGTAGGGCCCCTTTAATGTCACATTTTTATAGGTGCAAATTCCTGTTGTGTTAATTGTGGTAAAATATTCAATTATCTTTCTAATCTTTTTCTTAAGTTCTCCAAGCAGTCTGATAAGGAAGTTCCCATCAGCAAAAACACGTGGGTTTGCTATCCTGGCTCCAAAATTGTGGAATGAGCTCCCCATTGAAATCAGGACAGCAGAAAGCCTACACATCTTCCGGCGCAGACTGAAAACTCATCTCTTTCGACTCCACTTCGAGTGATAGAATTACTAACAAAGAATTACTAACAAAGCACTTATATACTAATAAAGGACTGGCTTATCTAAAGCCAGTTGAGTAGCACTTGAAATGTTTTGGCTCTATGAAACCTGATGTACTTATATGATTCTGTTTGTACCTTCTTAGTCGAATGCACTTATTGTAAGTCACTTTGGATAAAAGCGTCAGCTAAATGCGATGTAATGTAATGAAGTGCACTAACGGAGCCTACACATGGCGGTGTGCGTTGAAGCTTGCCGGCGGGTATGTCTGACACCACACGCTTTGCTCCCACAATGCAGTTCGGCGAAGCGTGACGTCACCCGATTCAAAGTGAATGGGTAGAAGTGTTGAAGCTTCAATGCACGCCGCCGTGTATAGGGGCCATAATGGCGTATTTCCACTACAGCGTGGTTTAAGCGTGCCGTGCCGGCCCGTTTTTAGTTGCGTTTCCACTTGGCGTAGTACCGGCTAGCGGGTACTATTTCAGAGTTTTTCTGGCACCATAAAGTCGAGGTTCTTAGCGGGCCAACAACCAGGCTGAGTCGGGGCTGAGTATGCTAAACTAGAGAGAGACTCGCTGGCAAGGGGGCTACAACTACAACAAAATGAACATATTTTACCGTGATTTAATTGTAATACACGTTTCAAAATAATGCCGAAGTAACAACATACTGATACCGGTTAGTAAAAACCATGAATTAATGCTTTGACAAGTCTGCAGACAGACGGCAGGCGAAAAACCTTTTAAAATGCGTGTTTTCTGAATGGAGATCGGCTAAGTTAACGCAGTATATGCTCCGACCGTCCACACTCACAACAACGGCCTATAGAGACATAAATAAACCAACGACTGTATTCGCCATGACACAGACAGTCTGTGGTTTGTGAACAGATATGAGGAGCTGTGAGCTCTGAGTGCTAACAGCTAACGGCTGATGTGGTTTTTCTGTGGTTCACATTGAAGATGACGTCACGGCTCCGCCTACACTGCGTTACTATAGTTACTGCCCCAGCTACTAAACTGTAATGGAAACGCAGCATAAAGTGAGCCTGGCCTAACTATACCGTACTAAGCCGAGCGAAGCCCTGCAGTGGAAATGCGCCATAAGACTGAGAATGGACTATTCAGTGCATTAGGAGACATGTTCAATAACATTTCAAAAATAAAACTTGCATAGGTTCTCGACTTCTGAATAAGGGACTTTTTTTTGGTAGAACAACCATGTCGGACACAAAATTATTATTAAAAATGTTAGGATTCTAAGTTCAAAGAAAACCCATTGAGTAAAAATATTGACATGTGATAATGAGCTACCAGAGTTGCTCATTATCACATGTTTTCCCCCTCATATTTCAGTAATACAGGTCATTTATTTGAATTCCATTTCATGAACGACTCTTAACGTTTCTGTGTATTGTTTCTTTTCAATCAACACAACAACTCATAGCACAAGTTCAAAAATACTTTATTCAAGTGGAACTGAGTACAACAATAAAGTGTAAACATTTAGCTAACTGTAAGAGACAAATACACTTTCACATTTAGTTTTCAACGTTCACCATAAAAATACAATTCCTATTACCACGATAAGGGATATTAAAACTATGAATGTTTCACAAAATGTGATGCCCATTGAACGGCAGATTATGCAGTGTTTTACATCACATGGTAAATGTTGGTTCTTATAGCACCACGGCAAGGCTTGGGGATGAACAGATCATTGTAATGGAATGATGTGCAGCGAGTGGTGTTTGCTTTGTGGGTTTGCCAGTGGAATGATGCTCCTGATACAACATGTCTGTTAGACCCTCTGTTTATAAAACCACTTCTTATGATTAAGATGCATAGAGTACTGCCTGAATATGCTTCATGAAAGACAGCTTTTCCATCAAATTAAATCATTTTTCATACTAACTATTAGGGATGTAACGATATACCGAATATCGCGGTATCGCGGTAAATAAACTTCCCAATACCGTCGTGAGACTGACAAAATCTACCGCAATTTAAAAAAAAAAAAAAAAATTTAATTTCTTTTTTTTTTTAAAACACTTTTTTTTTTTAAACCTTTATTTAACCAGGTGGTCCCATTGAGATCATCGATCTCTTTTTCAATAGAGACCTGTCCAACATGGCAGCAAGTAGGTTACAACATGAAAATAAAACAACAGATAACACAAAAGGACATCGTATTTACAGGGCCACATTTACACACCTAGAGACATGTACCAACCATATATTTATATCTCGCCATGTCAATAAGCCTGGCGTTAGACTTTTTCGCTGTCCGTCATTTTGACAGACAGGATCGTAAAATATCCGTCATAATCCCATATTACCCGTCGGGTCTGAACAGTTCACGATAGAGCATGCTCGTGAACTGTCAACGGGGGGTGGGGGGGGCGGTGTTATGCCGTGTGTGCATTCACCTCGCGGGACGCGCACAGCGTAAAGCAAAACTTCCCAGACATGTATTGATCTGTACGGCAAAGTACGGTTTGGAAACTATATAATTTCCTTTTGGAGGGCATGCATAACACGGCATAACACCAGAGCCTGGCTGCGGGGAAACGTTGGCGCTGTTCCGAGTTTGTTCTAAACTGTCAAAATGACAGACTGCTTTCAGATTTTTCCGTCATTGTTAAATAAAATATTCGGTTAACGCGACCACTGGTGTCCCAGCAACATCAGTACCAAGCGAGAGAGTTTTTTCCAGAGCAGGGGATATTGTAAATGCCCAAACTTCCCAGTTTATAAATACCTGGAAATGTGGACATTCTCATATTCCTAAAAACCTGTCTGATGATGCTGAGTGAGTGACTAGTGAGTTTGAGTTGAGTTACTTGAAAAACTAAAGTGAAACTTGATTTATTTTATTGCAGGGTCTGATTATTAAATGTCCTTGTTTATTTGTGAGATGCAGTGGCATAAAGAAAATGCTTACTTTGTTTGGTAGTAGCTACTGGTAGGTACAAAAACACTGGTTTTCTTGTTCCAGTCTGTTACTGTCACTTTGTTTTTGACACTTTAAAATACTGCTATCCTACAAAAATGTTCTTCCCTTTATTATTCAATATCACGATAAATACCGTACCGTGGACTTGTTATCGCGATATTATCGTACCGTGAGTTTTTGGTATCGTTACATCCCTACTAACTATGTAGGTTTATTTTTTTTCTAAGGTTTCATAGTTCTGTTGTTTTACTTAATAAACTTAAAGGTGGGGTACGTAATTTTGGAGAAACCAGCTCGAGTGCGCTAGAATTTGAAAATACATAGCCGGAAAAAATCTGCCACTTCCTTACAGAGCCCCTCCTCCAACACACACGAACGCACACATGACCAATGAGGGCACGAGATAAGTTTGTGCACAGATGGAAGGCTGACAGGCAGGTAGGCCATCCAGTTAATTTAACCGGGCCGGCTAAAATTATTGGTCGTGCTTAAGAGCATTCCATGGAATATAACAAAAAGTGTATCGCGAGCCGGTTTCTCTAACTTACTTACCCCACCTTTAAGTAAAAAAAATCTTATATTTATTTATTTTCTCTTTTATTTATTAGCCTGTATTTGACAATTAGGTAATCCAAGAGTAACGGAAAGCATCAATCGGGTTACATTATTTTAATATTTCAATACCCAGATGAAGTTACTTAATACAACGTGTATAGTTAACTAGCAATTACTTTTCTTTTTTTTTTAAATAATCCTCCCGACCCTGACCATGGCAGCATGAATACTTGTGTGGGTACCAGCATGAGGTGAAATGAGGGCATCATTACACCTTTCCATCACATGAACAACATCAGCAGGATGAGCTATCATTCCTGTCGCTCTGCCATGTCCCATCTTCACTGTTTCATATGGGACTCCTGGAAAATGTGCTCAAACTCTGATGTCAGGCAAGAATCCATGATTCCACTTTTTCTCAGTGTCCCTGCTGATAATCTGTTACAGTCTCACCTGACTGCAGATCAGCTCTTCTTCATTGTCTCTGCGGTTCCCCCCCCCTGCTTCTATGTCTGTGTGTTGTGAGGCGGCTCTGCCTCCAGAGGGCACTCTGCCTCCAGGACACTGCTGTCTGGGATGATGCTCACCTGGTGGAAGATCTCCTCGGCTATGGCTATGTACCAGGACGAGTTAGGGCGTTTCGTCAGGTCCTGGGGAG